ACATTGAAGTTATACCTTGCATTCTCTCAGGCCGCAAGGGAATAAAATTAGAACTCAACACCAAAAGCCACCAAAGAAAGTCCTGTAACACATGGAGGCTGAACAACACACTGTTGAATCACCAGTGGGTCATGGAAGAGATTAGAAAGAAAATTCAAATGTTCATGATATCCAACAAAAATGAACAGACAAATTACCAGCTCCTCTGGGACACAGCAAAAGCAGTACTCAGAGGCAAGTTTATAGCTCTGAGTTCCTACATCAACAAATTGAAGAGATCTGAAACCAGCAATTTAGTGAGACATCTGAGCCTCCTTGAAAAAGAACAGCAAGCTAAACCCCAATCCAGTAGATGGAAAGAAATAATTAAAATTAAATAAAAAGTAAACAAATTAGAATAAAAAACATAAAAGGAATCAACAAAACAAAGAGTTGGTTCTTCGAAAAAAATAACAAAATTGACAGATCCTTAGAAAACCTTATCAGAAAAAGAAGAGAACACAACCAAAGAAATAAACTCAGAGATGAGAATGGAAACATCACCAGAGAGACAACCAAGATCTAGAACATTTATGCTAGTAAGTTTGAGAACATGGCAGAAATGGACCTTTTCCTAGCAAAAATGGACATGCTGAAACTAAACCAAGATGACTTACACCAACTTAACAGGCCCATATCAAGCATTGAAATAGAAACAGCAATAAGAGACCTCTCATCTAAGAAAAGCCCAGGACCAGATGGACTTAGACCAGAATTCTACTAGGCCTTCAAAGCAGAGCTCACACCAATACTCCTCTAACTCTTCAATGAAATTGAAAGAGAAAGTTCACTACCAAACTCATTCTATGAAGCCATCATAACCCTCATCCCAAAACCAGGCAGGGACTCATCAAAGAAAGAGAACTATAGACTCATTTCTTCGATGAACATTGATGCAAAACTCCTCAACAAAATCTTTTCTTTTCTTTTCTATTCTTTCTTTCCTTTTTGTGTACTGTTTTTGGTACTTGAATTCAGGTCATGGGCACTGTCTCTGAACTTTTATGCTAAACACTAACACTCTACCCCTTGAACCACACCTCAATTTCCAACTCTTTGGTAGCTAGTTGGAGATAAGAATTTCATAGACATTCCTGCCTGCACTGGCTTTGAACCATGGTGCTAAGATCTCAGCCTCCTGATTGCCTAGGATTATAATCATGAACCATAATTATCTGTCTGGCTGCCTTCCTTCCTTCCTCCCTGCCTCACTCTCTCCCTCCTTCCCTCTCTTCCTCCCTCCCTTCTTCCCTCCCTCCCTCCCTCCCTTCCTTCCTTCCTTCCTTCCTTCCTTCCTTCCTTCCTTCCTTCCTTCCTTCCTTCCTTCCTTCCTTCCTTCCTTCCTTCGTTCTTCCATTTCTTTCTTTCTTTCCTTCCTTCCTTCGTTCTTCCATTTCTTTCTTTCTTTCTTTCCTTTCTTCCTTCCTTCCTTCCTTCCTTCCTTTTCTTCCTTCTTTTCTTTCTTTCTTGGATTTTCTAAGTTTTCCTTTAAAGTGATACTTACAAATTATCCACACTATTTCTAAGTTTCCCTTCCTTTATAAATTGGTCAACTAGACTGAGCATTTTACTGAAATTCCTCCATCCTCTGAAAAGACTAATGTTCATACATGACATTTTACCTCTATATCCTACTTTAACTGAAATCCTATTGTCCACTGGGAACATTGTTTCCTTTACATATATCCCTCACCTTATCCAATGTGACAGATACTTGCTTCTAGCTGTCCCTTCTACTTCTTGTCTTACCATGTTCTCTGGTAACTTCAGACTCAATGATGATGACCCATCTTAACTCTAGCTTCACAAGAATAGTTCCTTGATCATAAGTTCACTGGCTATAACTTCTACTTCACTTCAGTTCCCCACAGTTATGCCCATTGCCTGGACCTCATAATTATCTTTAAATGTTACACTCATTACAAATTTTTGATACCATCATATCTTCATATCCCACAATAACCTTCTAATTTCTCTAAATCAACACAGTCTTACTAGGTTATTTCCTCCATTCATCTTTAATACCATATATTTTACCAATAACCTGAAACTCTCTCTTCTTTACTGATCTTTGCAATTACACCAAAATACCTCAGGCTCAGATCAGAACCCTTCTCTAATTCTAAACATGAGCTACTACAGAATCACTATTTTATATACTGATATTAAATAATGGCCCTCAGCCTTACCAAGACTTTAGACAATATACAGAAATGTTTTCCCCTTTTTGCTGGGCAGGTCTCTCCACAGTTTTCAAAAACAATGATTTCAAGCTTCACATAGAATGTACATCAAAAAAAATCCTTTTTCTACCATCCAAGAATGATGTGTCATCTCCATCTTCAGCTTTATCTCCTCTAATTCATGGAAAGAGAAAGCCATTCTGCTAAAACACACTTTACTTTCCTTCATGGTACTTGCAATGATTGAAATTATTTTTATGAAATCTTTTTTATATTTATAAAATTTACCAGTAATTCCAAGAGAGTAGAGACTGTGTCCTTTTTCATCAAACAAACTCTAGTATTTAACACAATAATATATATCTGGTAAATATTGGTTGAATAAATATGCATCTGCTAGAGTTCTCATTCGCAAGCATAAAAATCTGCCTCTGGCTTCTTTAAGCAAAGTAGTACTTACTAAAAGCCTTTTGAAAGTGAAGTAGGGACTTCAGAGGATTGATCTAACTTTGGAATAGGTAGGCACCAAGGGAATTCTAGAAAGCCAAGAAACTGGCACCCCAGTAATATCCTCATCATCCAATCAAGTAGGATTAGAGAATTGCTGCCACTGTTGCTGTTAATAAGGTTACAAATGTGTCTCATCCTATGTCTCTTGGTACATATGTAAAATCTCAGGAGAGAGAATCTGGTTAAAGGAACTTGAATTAACATCCCATAGCCTGGCTATATAAGGGCAGAAAAAAGGAAAACGTGGTGCCTGTTAACTCTATATTATTCTAGGTGGACAGCCCTAAAATAATCTTACCAAGACACTCTTGTGGTTACTTTAATATTAACTTGATTGAGACATAGAATACAAAAATGGTTGGTTCAGTATTATTCTGATTGTGTCTGTGAAGGCATTTTGGAATGACGTTACCATGTGACTCAGTGTTTGAAGTAAAGCAGATTGTCCTCTCCAATGTGAGTAGGTCTCATCAAATCTACTGGAAGCCTGATTAACAAAAGGAGAAGCAAGGGATAATTTCTTCCTTCTATCTGTTTTTCAGCTGGGATATTTGTCTTCCCTTTTAGTTGGACTAGAATTTATATAGTTGATTTTCCTGGTTCTCAGATCTCTAGATTTGGAATGGGTTTGCTTCATTATCAGCCTTCCTAGATGTCCAGTTTTCATATGATAGATCATGGGATTTTGTATGCTCAATCACATGAGCCAATTCCTTATAGTAACTCTCAGTCCCTGTCTCTCTTACTCTCTGCGTGTGTGGTCCCTGCCTTCCTCAGAGTAGAATGAGAATTCTAATATGAGAATTGTGATGCTGAATAAGAAACAGATGCCCAATAGCTAACATTGACAGGCATCGAGGGCAGAATTTTTTTAATGGGACATAGGATTCCTGGGTGAAAAATAATATCTATGCAAACAAAATGTTATAAGGCCCTGAATATTTTGTCTATGTTGACTGATCTAGGTTATAAATAAAATGTCCCCTCGGGAGCTAGTGGCTCATGCCTGTAATCTTAGCTACTTGGGACACTGTGATCTGAGTATCAGGGTTCAAAGTTGGTCCAAGCAGAAAAGTCCTGGTGAGAATCTTATCTCCAGTTAACTACTCAAAAACCAGAAGTAGTGCTGTGGCTCAAGTAGTGGAGCCCTTGCCTTTAGCACAAAGATACTCAGGGACAGCACCCAGACCCTAAGTTCAAGCCCCACAACCAACCCCAAAAATGTCCCTATTGTCTTGCTCTGCCTGGCTCAACCTAGTTTATATGCATGGATCAAATATCGTGATATTAGCTCAAATATCTCATAGGTCTGGAGGAAATCAACATGAACCTCACTGTTTCAGTATCTGTAACCTTGAAAAATACACATTATTTTCCATTAGCATTATTATATACATATCCAACTTATTTTATATTAAGATGTGTCTATATGTCTGAGCCTATTAGGTTATGCAGCTACTTTCCTGCTCTGTAAGTTCATTTACTACATTAGTCACCTGGAAAAGACAATAAAGGAATCAAAACTTCGGGTATAAATAGTTTCATGTGAACTGAAAGATTTAGTTTTTTGATGTACATCACATATTTCACACTCTAGAATTCTCTTTTCCTCTCCTCACTCTCCCCAGTCCCCTCAAATAGGTCCACAATTACAAATATCTCTGTGCGCATACATACGCACACACACTATGTATGTATGTATGTATATGTCTGGTCTGGTCTGTCTGTCTGTCTTTCTGATGCCCTGTACATATTTATGTATATATTTATCTTTTATGTCTAGCTTCAACATATGAGAGAAAACATTCAACATTTGTCCTTCTGAATCTGATTTATTTCACTTAATATGATAATATCCAGGTACATGCATTTAACGGCAAATGACACTAATTTCAATCTTATTTTGGAAGAATAATACTCTATGATCTATATATACCACAAATTCTTAATTGATTCATCAGTTACAGAGAATCTAGTCTGTTTTTATAACTTAACTATTGCAAATAGCAAGGCAACAAACTTGAGTGTGCAAGGGCCTCTTTTATATCCTGACTTGCCATCTCTTGGAAATATCCCTAAAAGTGATATTGGTGGCTCATATGGCATTTCTGCTTTTAGTTTTCTGAGGATCTTCCAACAGTGTGTAAGAATTCGGCAGGCTGCGCTCTGCCCGCACGCCCTCGGGCCTAGCAGCTTTTCTTTGGAGTCAGTTAAATCTCTCAGCTATCCGTGTTCAGTGGTATTCTTTAGAGCGACCTTGCCAGGCTCTAGGAAGGATGGAGCCGTGGAAAATAAGGAAAGATGAATAGGAGGGCTGATTTTCGAGAGCCGGACACAGAAGTTCCAAGACCAATTCCCCACATAGGGGCTGATTACATTCCAACTGAGGAAGAAAGAGTCTTCGCAGAATGCAATAATGAAAGCTTCTGGTTCAGATCTGTGCCTTTGGCTGCCACAAGTATGTTGATTACTCAAGGATTAATTAGTAAAGGAATCCTTTCAAGTCATCCCAAATATGGTTCCATCCCTAAACTTATATTTGCCTGTATCATGGGATACTTTGCTGGAAAACTTTCTTATGTGAAAACTTGCCAAAAGAAATTTAAGAATCTTGAAAATTCCCCTCTTGGAGAATCTTTACGATCAGGACAAGCATGGCGATCTGCACCACCTGGGCATTATTCTCAAAAGTCAAAATATGCCACAAATATGAGTGGTCAGCCTTCTGTTGTGCCATCTCCAGCAGCAGACCACATAGAAAAGGAGATGCTTCCTCCTTATGAGCCCATTCCATTCAGTGCTTCTATGAATGAATCCACTCCTACTGGTATTATTGATCATATTGCCCAAGGACCTGAGCCCACCTCAGAAGAAAGTCCCAAAAGAAAAAATATCACATATGAGGAATTAAGGAATAAGAACAGAGAGTCATATGAAGTAACTTTAACACTAAAGACGGACCCCTCAGTCAGGCCTATGCCAAAAAAGAAGTAAAAGTAAACAAATACGGAGATACATGGGATGAGTGAAAAATTACATCTTTGGATCTGCTGAAGGAGATCAATATACAGCTTCATCTAGGTGGTCATGAATACCTGCATGCCTTGAGCTCAGCAGCAGTCATCATAAACACATTTAAAACTAAATCCCGGGTTTTTGTGGTTTGACTTACATTTTTAAAAACAGAGATTTCAGTGTTTAAATTGTATAAATGTATTGACTTTGGGGAACTCTGAATGATGGTATTATACTATGATTATTTTAGAAATTGTTTTAGGTTACAAGGCAAAGATACTCATGAAAGTATTGAGACTATGATGCTCTTCAATCAATGTATATGGAGATAAATGAAATCTGCATGCCAAATTGGGATGGGTTGGGGGACAAGCATAATTTCAAATGTTCAGCTTTATGTCAAGTTATTAAGCCTTTTTCATTTGCTGTGTTTAATGTTTATGGTAAATAAAATGTAAAGGAACATAAAAAAATTCCTTTTTCTCCACAACCTCAATAGCACTTGTTTTGGTTTATGTTCTTGATGATGGCCATTCTGATTAGAATGAGATAAAGCCTCAGTGTCTTTTGATTGCATTTCCTTTATGACAAAAGATGTTGAGCATTTCTTCATGTATTTATTGGACATTTGTACCTCTTTTGAAAATTGTCTGTTCCATTAATTTGTTTTCTTTTTTATTGATTGGTAATTAATTCTTTAGAAGTTTGATTTCTAAGCTCTGTGTATTCTGGTTATTAATCCTTTGTCTGATATATAACTGGTGAACATTCTCTCTCATTTTGTAGACTGTGTCCACAGTTCCGTGGCTTTTCAGTCTGAAGTTATTTTTTTAATTGGTCATGGGGCTTGTACTCAGGGACTGGGTACTCTCCCTGAGCTCTGAGCTCTTTTGCTCAAGGCTAGAATTCTACCACTTTTAGCCACATTGCCACTTCTGGTTTTCTGGTGGTTAATTGGAAATAAAAGTCACATGAACTTTCCTGCCTAGGCTGGCTTTGCCATTGATTCTCAAATTTCAGGCTCCAGAGTAGCTAGGATTACAGGCATGAGACACCAGTGCCTGGCATGATGCAATATTTTTTTTGTCTCTCCTTAATCTTATTTGCTGAGCTATTGGATTTCTATTCAAGAAGTTATTGCTTACACCTTTAAGTTCTATTGTTTTCCTACATCTTTCCTATAGTTGTTTCAAAGTATGTTAAGATCTTGAATCCACTTTGAAATGATATTAGTATAGGGATCTATGTATCAAGACAGTATAACTCACTGAAAACTTGAATAATAAGGAGCAGGAGAAAAGGAAAATGAGCAATTAAGAGGGTTTATCTAATTGATATAATAGTTGCAGGTGGAAAACTGAAGTGAAACCTCTTTGCATAATTAACATACACCTACAAAAAGAAGGACAGAAATGTAAAGTAGGTTCTACAGAGAGGTACCAGTGGGAAGGGATGGAAAAGCTAGAGGGTAGAAGAAGGCAACTATGGTCAAAATATAAAAATAGAACAAGGAAAACTGCTGAAATTGTTTAAGAATGAAGAAGAGGATGGGGAAGATTGATGGAGGAACTGAATCTAATCGGGGTTCACTATAAGTAAATATAGATATGTTAAAAAATAAATCCCTTTTTTCGGTTATTACTGTTGAATGGGCTAATACATTTATATACCAATAAAACATAATTAGCAAATAAAAGCCAACTGTGCCTGAATTCAACTACACTTTCTGATAAACCTTGTAACAATAAAACACATTAATTTAGCAACAAGCCTTCTCAACAAATTAAGTGGGCATTTGAACACATATATCCTGTATATTCCAGTGGCCTATGAAGCAATAAATCATTCTGTCAGTTACTCAGCAACACTCACATCTTGCTCTCCTAATCCCTAGTTGCTTAAGTAGTTTCAAAAACAAATTACACCAACATCAAATACAGTGAAAACAGGGGTTATACCATGGGGAAGAACATACAAAACAAAAAAAAAATGATGTGGTATCTTATAAATACATTAGAAACAATAGCAAGAAAGAAAAAACCACTTGTGTCCTTATCTTGGGGTTCATTTAGCTTAACATCATCTTATCTGGCCTTTTCTGCTTGTCTCAGACATATGGTAGTAATTGCAAATAAGGGAAACCATGGGACCTATGTTTCTTTGGGCCTGGCTTACTTCACTAAATACACTTTTTTTCCAAGTCTTTCCATTTCTTAACAAATGGGGCAATGTCATTCTTTCTGATGGAGGCATAGAATTCCATTGTGTATATATACCACATTTTCTTGATCCATTCATCTACTGAGGGGCATCTGGGTTGGTTCCATATCTTAGCTATGGTAAATAATGCTGCAATAAATATAGTTGTGCTGGTACTTTAGTATGGTCTTGTTTGTGATCATTTGAGTAAATGCCCAAAAGTGGGATTGCTGGGTCATAGGGGAACTCTATGTGGAATCTTTTAAGGAATCTCCATACTACTTTCCAAAGTGATTGAACAACTTTACACTCCCATCAACAATGTAGTAGGGTTCCCTTCTGTCCACATAGGGAAGGGTAAGTGAAAAAACAAATTGTTTAAATAGGGATACAGGCTGACCCTTTGCAACAATGAGATATACAAGATGCTATGTCGAAAAACAAACTTTACAATTTAGTCAGGGGGTGGGGTGTGTAGTTGTGGAGATGGGAGGGAAAGGATGGTAGGGGAAAAACAAAGGAGGAAGTACCAATGCTTGATAAGAAATGTACTCATTACCTTGCCCATGTAATTGTAACCCCTCTGTATTTTCACAATAAAACTTATTTAAAAATAAATAAATGAATGAATTCCATCAATCTGAAAAACTAAAATCCTCTAGAGCACACAATATCTCAACTGATCATGTTCTAGTCAGATTTTCCCTGAGTAATTCAAGCTTCTTCTGATTTAATTCACAGATAAGTCATGTATTCATTACTTACAGGTCATTTTAAAACATGTGTAGGTCAACTGATTAATCATAATATATAAAGAGATATTCCATATTTTTGTTGATGCCCTGAGAGTACCTGTAAAACTTCATCAATTTTTGGAAGTGGCACTGTGGCTCAAATGGTAAAGTGCTTGCCTTGAGCTGAAGAGCTCAGGGACAGCACACAGGCCCAGAGTTCAAACCCCACAACTGACCAAAAAACAAACAAAAGCAATAAAACAACAAAAAAATTCTTTGACTTTTGATCAGAATTGTCAAAGACAAAGAATAGTGGCTGTTTTTTAGCCAAAGTGACAAAGAAGTTTCTCTCAGCACTTTATATTAGCACTGAATAAATAAAATCATTGTCCTTGGGGCTGAGTTTAAAATTGACCTTGAATGTCAACCTGAAAGTACAATATCTGGAAGGATGTGGGAAGAATGAATAATAGGAGATTGGATTTGACAGATGCACACTGTATACATGCAAGAAATATCACATAAAATCTCATTAATATATAATTCATACATCTTAAAAATAAAACCTGAAAAATGTAAAAGAAATACATTGGAAAAAAAAGCTAAACCAAATTAGGGTGATAGAAATCAGAAAGTAACGGAAAACCTGTGACTCACACTTATAAGCCTTGCTCCTCTGGAGACTGAAATCAGAGGATCACAGTTCCAAGCTAGTCAGGGAAGAAAAAAATGAGACCCTTGTCTACCATTAACCATTAACCATAAAAAAAACTGTAAGTAGGGTTGTGGCCTATGCCTGGAATCTTATCCACAGATCAGGATGAGAGCTGAGGATCCTAATTCCAAAACAGCCAGGTTAGACACATCCAGGAGGCTCTTCGTATCCAATTATCTAGTAAAAAGGTAGAAGTGGAGGCATGGCTCAATGGTAGAGTGCCAGAATTGAGTGAAAAAGAATTAAACAAGAGCTCAAGGCCTAATGTTCAAGCCTTGTCCAGCTCGTCCAAAAAAAATTCAGAACAGTGGCTGTCTCTAGGAAAAACTCAGAGACAGGGCGCAAGTCACTTCTTGAAAATGTTCTACATATTGGGTTGAATCATGGTTGTATGTAAAAGTACATTAATCCATGCTCAATATTTGGGTGCTTTATTGCTTGTGTGTCATATTACAGTGAAATTTTTTTTCAAAAGTACATTGAACATAGAGTAAATCAGTATTTGCTGGCACTGGGGAAGGAAGAGGGACTGACTGAAACAGGCAGGGATAATCTATTGGAGGTGAAGGATATGTTCTAGAATTGGGTTCTGGTGATGGTTACAGAATCATATAAATTTGCTTAAAAGTGTTAATTTGTTTACTTTGAAAGAATAAACTGTATAATATAGAAATTGGACACAAAATGAATAGATTTTATGATATGTAGAATTATATAAAAATGTTAAATTTTCGAACTTCGGGTATTCTCATTACATATGCAACTTTTGTTCTGTTTTCTGAGAGCACAATTCAGAATTTCCCCAGTTAAAATATGTGTATATGTATGAACCTAAATATGTGTGCATCCATACAGACCTGAATATTTAACCATACTTTAGATGAAATCTATGTGCATTTTAATATTTTAAGAGTAATTTGGACTAGGTACTAGCTAATCAGGAGGCTGAGATCTGAAGATCAGAGCTCAAAGTCTGCCAGGCAGGAAGGTCTAAGAGACTTCTCTCCAATTAACAACCCAAAAGTCTGGAAGTGAAGCGATGGCTCAAGTGGTAGAGCTACCTTTAACCAAAATTGCTCAGGGATAGCACCCACACCCTCAGTTTAAGCCCCAGGACCTGTACACACACAAAAGTAGTAATTTGAAAACTGAATAAAATAAATAAAAGTGATAGATCACTTGCCAGCTGCAAACAAGGCCTGGCTTCAACCTCCATCACTACAAAAAATACATGCAACAAACAAAAATATGTTTTGTATACTTAAAAAAAAAAACCTTGAATCTGGGAGCCCATGACTCACGCCTGTAATCCTAGCTACTAAGGAGGCTGAGACCTGAGGACCATGGTTCAAAGCCAGCCCAGGCAGGAAAGTCCATGAGACTCTTGTCTCTAATAAACCACCAGAAAAGTGGAAGTGCAGCTGTGGCTCAAGTGGTAAAGTGCTAGCCTTGAGCTGAAGAGCTTAGGGACAGTGCCCAGCCTCAGAGTTTAAGCCCCATGACCAACAAAACAACAACAACAACAAAATCCTTGATTGTATTTTTGGAATATTCAATAATGTAATATTTAAAGTGAGTCTGC